AGAAAAAAAAAATAATAAAAATAACAATTACAGTAACAAAAATCAATAATAAAAATAAAAAGAATATTAAATAGCAATAACAAAAGTAAAAAACACCACAAGTTACAGTAGCTCCACTAAGAAAGACACTAAAAAATACACTAATTTATGTACTAGTTAATAATTTATATGGTACTTCAAAAAAACTACAAGTACTCTATAAGTAAGCCACATTAAATGAAGAAAAATAAATAATAAAAATAACAATTACAGTAACAAAAATAAAAACTAGAATAATAGCACAAACAAAAGTAACAAAAACAACAAGGTACAGTAGATCCACTAAGTAAGAAATACACTAAAAATACACTAATTTATGTACTAGTTAATAATTTATATGGTACTTCAAAATCCTTAAAAACTATTGGCCATAAATCTTTTTCCTTTGCCGCACATACACTTAGGAATTCACTTCATGCACACATTAAAAAATGTTCTTCTGTTGTTTCATTTAAGAAATTACTTAAAACTCACCTTTTCCATCATTAACATGCACAGCGCCTTTGATAATGCACCTCGGTCTTTTAATCAATGCTTTATAAATTCTTATATTATCATTATTATTATATTATTATTATTACTGTTATGAAATTGTATGACGAATTGTTTACTTGGGTGCTTCAAATTTGTTGACATTTTAACATTAAATTTATTTAAGATAAATTTTAAAGCATCATCAGAATGTTTTATTATTTTTAAAATCTTTTAAATAATGCTTGTTTTATAGCTACATATATTTTTTAATACTTAACTTTCGATGTTTTATCTATTAGAAGAATTATATACTGTAGGTATTTGTTTATTTTTGTCAAAGGGCCTCTAGTCGACAGTGTTTAAGTTTACTTTTGGCTTGTTCTGTCTCTTTTTTTTGTGCTATTGTGGTTGTTCCTTGCTGTTTCTGTTTTCGTACATTTTAACGTTTGAGACAAATAAATGAAATTAAATTAAATCTTTGAAAAATACCTTATGGATGCTGCTGGCAGGCATAATGGTGATGGAGGACTGTTCTACTCATTCTCATCAAGAAATAATAAAAAAGAAATGAATAAATTATGCAGATTTACACTATATCTTTCAACCTAGATATCTATGATAAACTATAATTATCAGTTTATGAATAAAATATGTGTTTCGATTATAACGTTAACTGACCAAACTCAAAGATCAAGCTTTCAAAATATATCAAATTATTATTGTCCTAAATAAATATAGATGAGATATCTTCCCGGCGGGCAAATCAGGCTTTGAACACATTGGCTCTGCCACTTGAAGATTCTCACTGGATGATAAATAAGCATTTAGTTTAGAATCTGAACGCAAAATACCGTATTTTGGGGCATTTATTATTAAAAGGGTTTTTGAGGGGTTGTTTATTCGAGGGAGGTGTTTATTTTTTTGGGTTTAAAATGGATATGTATATACTCAAATAAACACCCACACATGATTACTATCAAACATGTATTATTGCGTGATACATTATATATTGTAGTAATGATGCTAGGTATGTAAAGTAAAAGGTTGTTTCTTCTTAATTATCTATTACAATGTTAATTTCTGGTTGCAGTACATTTCCTTATCAGCAATCCTGCTGTGTAGATAAGCAATTTGCTAACCGGGTGCACGAAAAGTTAGGCGCTGAGCGTTTCTTCAAATCAGTTTTGTATCTGAGTTTCCGATGATATGACAATTTTAATAATAATAATATGTTAGATTTATATGTAAGATTTATTAATCAACATCCTTTAAAAATATTTTAAACTTGTTATTGATTTATGAATTTTATATATTGCTATACAGGTATTTTTTAAAATTTTAATGAAGGCATGTTTAACTTTTGAGTTATATTGTCTTGTATTTTTAAGTAAAAGAAATTAATTGTGGCGTTGGTAAGCCCCAATTTCAAAATAGCGTTTCAAGAAAGGTGGTAGTAATGGAAAATTAAAATTATCTAACTATTAATTATCCATGTGGATACCATACCTAGAGAAGCTTAAATCATGCTCATTGCTATTTTAAAGCAGAAAAGAGGAAAGAAGAAACAGTAGCTGCGAATATTCAAGTGTATCAGATACCGTTGAGAAATCTATATTGAGCTACACAAATAGTATAGCTACAGTAAGCTATATTATAATTGAAAAAAAAAGAACACTGTAACTGTATAGTGAAATAATGTAGAATAGTTTCATGTTATCATTATTCATTTCCGGTGTGTATTTCCTGTTCCTATCTATTTCAGTCTTCAATCATGTTCATGGTCAAACTGGAATGAATTTCAAAATTTACAATGCAGAAGACAACAAATGGAGTGATTATACAGACTGAGTAAGCCCAAGTCCAAAACGAAGGCAAATTTTATACAAATAGGCATGAAGCTCTGTTCACACTCTAAAATTTTATGTGACAAATGTGATATGACATCATCGTGACCATATTATGGGCACATCACACAAATATGTCACATAAAATTTCATAGTGTAGGCAAAGATTAAATCTATAAAAACTTATTACTCAATACAATACACAATACACGGTATTACACATAGATTTTTTAAGCACGCGAAGTTATTATATATTAAGCCATATGTATAATTTTTTGTTACTTTTTTTTAAATATAATTTTCGTTTTTGTTTAGGATTCTTCCCATGTACGATTGTCATATTTTGTTGAAGAATGAATTAAAAAAAAAAAAAAAAAAAATATTGATTCTTTCTCTCACCTTCACTTGAATTGTTTTTTTCTGAATCACTTTCACCATAGGCGGCCATTAATGATCCGAGGGATCCTAAACAGCTTGCGTCCCTTTGAGATTCCTCAACTATCATAAAGATACAGTTCAAATTTTGTTATCTAAAAGATTGATTATTCTAAGACGACTACACAGATAGTCGCTACAGAATAAAATGTTTCTTTATCATTATTTGATGAAGATAAATTAATATTTGTTTAAAATAAAGTTTATTAGATAAATCATCAAGCGTGACCGGCTCTGGCAAAACCAGCAATTGTAGGGAAAATTCAAAATTTAGTTTTTAATATTATTTGATTCTGCATGAACTCATTTTAAAACTGTCTTTTGTAGGAGTGGTTTGGCGCAGCGGTTACATTGCGTATCTGCTTCTCAACCTTGAGGACGGAGGTTCAATCCCTTGTTGTGTATTTTGAAATGTGTCCTTATTAGGCAAGGCACTTTACCTACAGTTGCCTCTCTCCACCCAGGAGTACAAGTGGGTACCTGGTAGGTTCAAACACATGTGCTGATTACAGCTGCAACATAATGCAATTCTCCCAAGGGATTTGAGTATTTATTCCATATGTGTTTGATCCAATGACCGTGGGTAATAAAGCTAAGTGCATAGAGGTCTCTACAATATGCACTATATAAGTCCATTATTAT